AAGCACATGTAGACTGGTTGGGCAAACTCCCACGCACCCTCCAGGACTCTGCTGAGAGTGTAGAGCGGGTCCAGTGTTCCACAACCAGGACGAAAAGCGCACTGCTCCTCCTGAATCCGAGGTTCGACTATCCGATGGACCCTCCTCTCCAGAACCCCCAAATAGACCTTACCAGGGACGCTTAAGAGCGTGATCCCCTGTAGTTGGAACACACTTTACGGTCCCCCTTTTTGAATAGGGGGACCACCGCCCCAGTCTGCCGATCCAGGGGAACTTTCCCCGATGTCCACGCAATATTGCAGAGTCATGTAAGTCAACACAACCCTACAACATCCAGAGCCTTAAGGAACTCCGGGCGAATCTCATCCACCCCTGGGGCCCTGCCACCGAGGAGCTTTTTAACCACCCCGGTGACCTCAGCACCAGAGATTGGAGGGCCCGACCCAGAGTCCCCAGGCTCTGTTGTGCATAAACTTTTTTATAATCTACTGTTATAATTATGTATACACATATAATCAGGGGCAGAGATTGGGTAGAGGTAGAACTGCTGACCTGGGACCAGAAAGTCGCAGGCTCAACTCTCCACCATGCCCACATGTCGTAGTGTCCTTGAGCAAGACTCCTAATCCCTAATTACTCCCCGGGCACCTACATAGCTGCCCACTGCTCCACCCGGGTGTATCAAACATGTGATGGGTTAAATCAGAGAACTAATTTAATCAAACATACAATGATGACAACACATAGCAGTTTATTATTATAAAACATACTCCTCCTACTTATTGTTTCAAACAAAGAGGACCAACTAGAATTGCATCATGTCATATGATTATGCATAAAGACTAGGGTTACAGACACCTCCGTTCTCTGGTTATGAACAAAAGGAGAAGTTACAGTTTAAACACACACTCAAGCAGAGTGATTCTTCTCTTCAGTCTCCATTTCTTCTGGTCCAACTTGTTATCTCCAACACGGTCTCCTCTCATTGGCTGAAACTGACAGCTTCCAAAATTTACAGCTCCATTCCTTCCAGGCTGCTGCAGCTGTGTAAGGGAGGCTCTGATAACACAGGTTGGCCTCAATAGGGATACACTGGGTCCATCTTGGTATGGGTCAGTGCCTGGTACGATCCACGTTTGTGACCAGCAAGAGCAGTTTGACCTGAGACTGACCTCTGATGCTGCCTGTTTTCATAAGTGGGTCAGTGATCAGTTCCTGGCTGATAAATGAAGATTCACCATTTTTTCATCTCTCCATCTGATGTTTGCATCACATAAATGTGGCCTCCTATAAAAGTAGAAGCGTTCTTCAAGTTTCCACTTTTAGGTCTCCCAGTCCTCGTAACAGGCCAGTCTTCATCAACAGGGAGGTCCAAATTTCCTCACAAAGTATTTTTGGGCTGTTAGCCAAGGGGTGTGTGATGTTTTTGAGCAATCACAGTTTCCTCACAGCATGATGTCTCTGGGTTTGAATGCCAAGCAGCTTGTGCCTTTCTTTGTCAAAGTTCTGTCTCTCGGCTCTTTTCTGTGTCCAACTTCAAGTCCCTGCATGAACCAAAAAGGGATAATTGTTCCGGGTGTGAATATTTAGGATGGCTGGATGTTTCCACATGAGATGCTGTCGCTTCATAATGTTTCAGCTGTTTTTGACACAATCTGATTCTGTAAATTATTTCCAACAAGAGCTCATGTGATAGCCCCGTGGGACGTTTTTCTTTTCTTTTATGCTGCACAGTGATTATGTTTTCCTTTGTTTGAACTCTGTGTAACTTTAGTTGACTATACCAAATTTCTCTTTATTTCTTAAAATGGTGCTGCATTGAAGTAAGAATGGACCACAATGGGAAAAGAGCCCCCGGGGTTTGTATGAATATAGTTAATCATACCTAGAATTACAGTATGTGCCCTAACAAACTAAAAATTCAACAATGGCGATCAGGTTGGAAAGTCTGCCAAGATTTATTCAGCTCTATGTGATTTATAGCTAAGAGTTACAGCTCTATGTGCTCGTTCGTCTAACAAGAACAGTATTTCCATCAATGATCAATTACTGTTGTGAATTTAAATCAGCACAGATTTATTATAAAACTCCCCCAACCAAAAATAATCATAAACTAATAAAAAATATGTTTTTATAACTTAATGCTTTTACAAGCTCAAGGGGACAGATGGTTCTGAGCAGACAATTTATCATTTGTTTCACAGCCATACTAATAAACATGTAACAATCCACAGCTCCACCATTACACATCCCCCTTAGCTTTAAAGACATGATGGAGAACATTCTGCTTTGTATCTGTTTAAATTCATAAATAATTAGTCATAAATAAATCTATATGCATTTTTAATAAGGGCAAAAAAACGCAAGAATTTATTTATTTGCCTCTTGGAGAAACAGGTAAAAGTTTGTTGATCTAATCCCAAGTTTACCTGTGACACATCCATTTACCTTCAGTTTCATTTGCCCTTTTATATAACGACAACTTTTTCCACAAATTGTGTCTCACACAAGAATAAATTTACCATTGTCAACATTAAAGCAAGCTCGAGTGACTTTCAGTGGAGATTACCATAAAAAAGCATTAGGCTTTCCCAAAAGGATCTGCAGTGTTTGGTGAAATAGGATGTTTGTATTTGCCCTTAATTGAGGCTTTGGAGCTGCCCCCTGCCTAACCCTCTAGTTATCAAACGCAGTTTGTATCTTACTGGAAATCCTCAACGGATGCCAGGGCTGGCTGTGTCCGAGTCTACAGTGTCGGATTAATGGCTGTTTGATCAAGTTCAAAGACAGAGCTGGCCTGGATAAACTGATTATACACAGCACCGAAAGACGTCTGGGCCAACACGGTGTACTCTACTTGGAAAGTCTTTAAATATCTGGTCTTAGTAGGTTCAGTTCCATTCTGGGTAGTCCTGTAAATAACACTCACCAGGTCCAGCACTCAAAAGAAGACAGGCAGACATTTTTATCCTGCTGTGGCAGAGGTATTTCTGGAGTGTTACAGCGGTAATCCTTGAGAGACTCGACTTACTGATTTTGATTACATCCCCAGTGGTAGATGGACATTCCTCTGATGCCGTACTTGCAGCTATGCCAACTCGCATTACATGCACAGAAATGTCATTCTGACTTTCTCTTCAAAATAATGAAGTTTAATTATTGTAGGTGTAGGTGGCACACTCCTTTTGTAGATTTAAATCCTGCATGGAGGGTGGTGGTTGTTATGAGGTTGAGGACAACGGCTTTTATAAAGGTTTTGTACGCTAACCCCTAAAGCTGTTGGATTTTCTCAGCCTATTAAGAAACCCTGTTTGGGGAAATTAGACTCAACAAATCGAGTTACATGGGTTTTTCTTTAATAAATAAAGCAGGGGCACAATTTGTATTTATGATTTAATTCTAATGTACATTGGACAAAGCTTTTCAATTTTTAAAAATTGTGTAAAGATATTTTGGAGGGTGTGGGTCTTTTGTGTCGTTAGACTTGGTTCCAGAGAGTGTTTAGATCAACCGTCCACACTAAACGTCTATGTACAGTATGACAAATACATGGAAATCTATGGTAATGTACCATATATGGTAAATAGTATCTGTAATATTGATCAGATTATAGGATACTTACCAAGAAAGGTGCCAAACACCACTTTACCAATATTGAAGTAATTAGCTATGACAGCTAAAACATGTTTGAATCGAAAGAGACCATCTTAGCACCAACAGAACTGGTTTGTTCCACTTTGGAGTAAGCTGTTGTGGGAAGAATCAGTTTTGTGTTGTGTGTTTCCTTGACTGATGAAGCCTTCCGGATCAAAGGCGAAACATTTCAGCACAAAAAAAAAGAAACTGTCCAGATGACCTGACTGAAAAATGTTGGATGTTCGAATCTAGAATTGAATTGCATTCAATAAATCTGAGTAAAAACTTGAAAGTAATCCATGAATTCATGCTCTCTGATGCAGTAAGACAACTTTAGTATTTTACACTTCACCACAAAAGTACAATAAAAATCTACCAGTGATCATACAGACAGATAAGTCGATCAGTGATGCCTCCTTTCGTTTGAGTTGGCAGTTTTAGTACCAACGACATTTAGGACTGTAATCCATTACCCAATACAAACACTAAAGTACTTTAGAGCCATCTATGGTCAAGCACTGCACAGAGAGACATCTAGGACCAGAGTCCTTCAGCTTTTTTGAAGTTTAAGCTCTAAAAACAGCCAAAGTGCTAGGATAAATGTGTTTGCCTGTTGACAATCATCTGTTGACGATTTGCTTTGAGTAAGTTTAGATTGGCGGTAGATGTACATGCACTAGCACGATGCATTATTTTTCAAACCTCCAGAGCTTCTTGGACCCTTTCTGGAATTGGCTCGAGAGATCGGGTCATTGGCGCGCTTCTGTGCAACGTGCATGGGATTACTGTAAATGCAATTAGACGTCATTGAAATACTATCCAGTCGTCGCAGATGCATTTTAATGCAAGGTGTGAGACCGCCAATAAACTCGTCGCTCCGAGTGGCTGTAGTGTGTGTGCTGTGACGTGTGTATGCGTTTGTGTTTTCTTTTAAACGTGTCCACATGAATCCTCCTGAGTGTTTTCATCTCGTTTCATATCTGCCCGAGTCTTTTGTGCATGACTGATTGCTTTGTGTGTCTGACCACAATTGAAAATGAATCCATCTCTTGCCTCTCTCCCTGTGTGTGTGTGTGTGTGTGTGTGTGTGTGTGTGTGTGTGTGTGTGT